TGCAGCTGATGTTATTTTGGGGATAGTTGACAAAGGTCATTCAAGGACTAGAAGGAATCCTAATGTGATTGTTTTTCCCTCACAGGGAGGAGGATAGCGTCGGGTCTGACAAAACACAGGTTCGCCAAGTGTTTGAATAAGTAGTGGGGTTGTAGATATGTCTTGATAATTCTGACTAATATTTCAGTGGTGAAAAGGTTAAAAACAAAAGTGTAGGTTCACCTTTTATGTCTAATTATTCTGACATGGTTTTAATCACTTCTAGGGGCAAGTTTATATGTTGGGATCCACATTTTATTTGAGGACACGGTATATAAAATATGTTTGAAGGGGATACTTTCTTTTACAACACACTTGAATTTGTTTTAACTTTATAAGAAATTGAAATTGAAAGAGAATCAGACGTAAACAAAATTGAGGATAGGATAGAGATCATTATGATATTTTATTATTAAGTTATTAAGAAACATACACAAGCTCCCAGCTTCCCAATGGAAAATTAGACATTCATTCCCAAACAAAGCATCCTTTCCTACTTCCTTTTTAAAAGGTTAAATATATGAAACATAACAAAATAGTGCAGTGCAGAGGCCTACTTCCCGAAACACACTGAAATATCAGTTTGCATTTCATATTTTCTAAACCCCAACTGTATAACACACATAATTAATCAACATTGTTTTCTCAAACTATTTGTCATCTCCCAATTCACACTCTACTCATTGTTTTCCCACAAAAATAACTAACTGTCATGATAAGTGTTTTCCTCCTTTTCATCTAATTCCATCCTTCTGTCCTTCCTTGTGTCATTGGTCATCAGCAAGACACGAAAAAGAAGGAGAAGGTAATGCATGCATGTGTCAAAAGCATTGCTTGATGGCTCTTTAAACTCTGCTTTATCCACTGCTTCACTCCTGCTACTCTCCATTATGTCTGCTGTTTTAAATGTTGGTAGTTTGTGCCATTATCGCATATAGAATAAAACCAGTGGAATAACTATAAATAACTCTCTCTTTTCTGTTTCTGTTTGTCTTTTTTTAACCCGTCTCTCCTCTTACTAACCAATGCCGTCGCCCATGCCAGCCTATTGTATTTGTGTCAGACAGAGCAAAAGCCAACAAAGAAATCGAGCATGACGGCATTCGGGGAGAGAAGAAGAAGAAGAAGAAGCCAAAGGTAATCTCCCGATTTTAGGACACAAAACGTTGACACTGCAGACACACAGCTAAGAGCTGGTAGTGACTCATTTCTGGAGACTGACGGTTCTGACATGCGCTCTCGACCAGGTCAAATAACCCCTTTGAGAATTAAACAATTGAGAGTGGGGCCAAATGATATCAAGTGTCTCCGCTGCACCTGTTTCCCTGTGAGGCCTCAGGTTAGACGGGCCAAGTTGTTTGTGTTTATCCAATTAGCTGCTTTCCTGTGCTACGGGAAAGCATCCAGAGCTTAAACGTCATACATGTATTGTTATATATAGAGCAACAGGAACACATCGTTTTAATGTTTCAAGATGACTGAGAACTCAAAAGTTATCGATAGGAAAAGTAGTCCTATTTGTGCAATATTTATTTAAGAATCTGGTCAAATCATCTCTGAAAAACGACATTGCTCTACTGTTCCGTTATATTCAGTAATGTCCTTATCCAGCACATGGAGGTTGTCAAACTTTTTCCAATTTACACCAAAACCACCTCACAGTAACTACATATTTGGGCCAAAAATCATGTTCATTCTTATTTTGCAAAAGACATTCCTCTTTGACTGTCAATATCCACGAATGAATGTTACATTTACGGCGTAGGTTTTATTACTTATTGGTAGTATGTGTCTTTAGTTTTGTTGTGTCTTTACTGTTGTGTTATGACTGTTTGCTGTTCTGTCATGAGCAAACTAAAGCAGATTGAATATGGCGATGACATATTGGACCCTAATCATCTTAAGAAATGTACTTCTTTCTCACGTGGCCCTCAGATAAATCTACTCCAAGAAGAGGAGGAGACTGAGGAGGAAAAACTGTTCAGAGCCATTTACCAAAAGATTGCTGGAGATGTGAGTACAGGAAGGATAAAACAGGCAAGACTTGGATTTACAATTTATATTTATATTAATACATGAAACAAATTGTCCCTCCCTCTATCAGGACATGCAGATCTGCGCCAACGAACTCAAGACGGTCATGAAGAACGTGCTCTCTAAACGTGAGCACACTGGTTGATTTGAGTCATTATTATGTATTGTGTGTCATGTGATCAATCATACCGAGCCTTCCTTTCTACAGATAATGACATAAAGACAGAGGGTTTCAGCATTGAGACATGTCGGAGTATGATCGCTTTGATGGATGTATCCTTTCAGCTGAAACCACCAGAGTTTATACAGAGCTCACAACAGATAAGGTGGTTATTTATTGGTTTGAACTCCTCTAGTTATTGAACATCCTCAGTTACTCAGTGGAGCCACCCAGTGGTAGAACATGGAAACTATGTTACCTGTATACTCTAGTATAGCAAAGTCAAAGAAGTAACACATCATTTATCAGTAGTACAAATTATGTTATCCTTATTTATAATATTGACATTCACATCTGTAAATCAGAATTCATTGTCATCTATTCTTTGTAGGTCTATGCATTCTGTTTAAACACAACATTTCTGCACAGTTACATTTCAAGATGATAGGCTTCACTAAAATGTGTATGCTGATGCAGGATTGTTTCTGACTTAAATTAACAACTTTTTCCAGAGTTTTAAAAGCAATTCAGGCGTTTTATCTAAATATTCTGCTTAAATCCATATCTTTTGACAGTCAAAAAAACGGTTTGCTTTTCTGCTTGCAACACACAAAGGGAGGCATGTGCCTGTTTTTAAAAGGGTGGTATATTCAAATTGAGGATATGGTTTATAGGTCAAAATTAATATTAATTTGATAAGTTAAATAGAATGTTGAGTGTAAAAAAGTACACACTTTTCAGCCGTATTTTATCAACTTTAAAATCGTCCTTACTGGCTCCGTTGGTTTTCCATAACCGACCTCTCTCAGACTGATGGTACGGGGAAGCTGAACCTGCAGGAGTTCAAACACTTGTGGAAAAAGATCAAGGAGTGGCAGGTGGGACCGTTTTTAATCTTTCTATATCTTCTGCTTATTTTTAAAACAAACAACTGACTGTCCGTCTCCTCGTGTGTCTCCAGCTGATCTTCAGAAAATACGATAAAGACAAATCTTGCTCCATCAGCAGTTTTGAGATGAGGAACGCTGTTAATGATGCAGGTGAGCACAGCTTCAAAAAAGAAATACTTTTAAGTATTAACGACTCACCCAACATTTCTCTATGCATGTGTAAAGAAGTGCATTACCAACGGCAACTCACAAGATATCAGTTCATGGATTTCAAAAAAAAAAATGTTCCCATTTTATTTAGGATTGTGATTCAGCTTTTTTATTGTAAGCCTCAACAATGATTTAATATTCACTGGATTGGGTTAACATTTGTACTAAACATCCAAGAAACCATAAGGATAATTGCAACATTTCTTCATTGAAAATTACAGATTTTATACTACCTTATATTTAGGCTTTGAAAATAAAAAAGATATAACTACATAAATTGTGGTCTATAAATTAAAATGTAAATGTTGTAGACTACACGTCACATCTTTCAATTCATAACCAAATAAAATGGCAAGGATTCTATATGTCTCAGCTTTTGTCAGAAATAACATCCCATAATTGCCATTCTCTTGAAAGAAACTGGAAATAAACTATCGACTAATCTGAGTCTCCCTCCCATGCAGGGTTCCACCTGAACAAACAGCTGTATGACATCATAGCCATGCGCTACGCAGACGAACACCTCAACATCGACTTCGACAGTTACATCTGCTGCTTCGTGAGACTAGAGGGCATGTTCAGTAAGTAACACCACACCTCACCTTTCATTCATTTATTTCCTCTGAATAGGTTACACTTTAATCTTTGCAGGGCTAAATGTAAGTTGTATGAGCCGGTATCTGCTCATAATCACTGTGCGTTTTATTAAGAGTTAAATAAAGACTGACTTGTTGCGTCTCTTGCAGGAGCTTTTAACGCCTTTGACAAAGACGGAGATGGAGTAATAAAGCTCAATGTCCTGGAGGTAAGCCTGTTTTAGTATTCTTTACAACATGATATTCTGTGTCTTTTGCCATTTATACTGTATGTCGTTGCGTACAGTACCACAAACATGTTCTTTGAGAGTCATGCATGTGAGGAAGGGCATTCATGTTTTAAAAGTAAGAGAGTAATAGTTTGACTGAAGAGCTTTTAAACACATCACAGTCTTTGATTGCACTATGAGGTACTTCTATGTTGGATTACATAACACTTTCTAAAAATCTGTCCATTTATTAAAGAACAAACATTTCAACTACTCCTCACTAAAGCGCAATGAAATACGACAACACATACTACATCCACAAAATCGACCATGCATTATAAAACAGTTGAATGTGTCTTGGGTTTTTAGTCACAATGTGTACTGTGAGTACACTATCAAAGTGAAACCCCATTTAAGCTCATATTTGTTTCTCTGTCTCTCTTTCCAGTGGCTTCAGCTGACCATGTATTCTTAAGTGACCTTCCTGAGCGCTGACACGTGGAGCTGATGTTCATGACTTCAGAGTTCATCTCTTCTTGCACATACTTTTTGCGACATCTAAATCTTTTTCACAAATCAGATGTTTGATTGCGAATCATATCCGGATTTGATGTGGAATTTAGATTTTTCAGATCATTCAAACTATGATGGTGTAAATGTAAGGTCAATGTTATGTCACTTATGTTAAGGTGTCAGCATCAATCATGTTTTGGGCAGTGAAGTTGTTAAGAATATTTGGTTTGTAAAGCTAAACTTTGGGTATCATTGTTAAGTAATGTTTGAATATGAGAACCAAAATGTAACCTTTTGTATAACAGCATTTTTAGAGAATATATAATGTTTTCAAAAAAGCAGAGGAACATTTTCTAGATTATATTTGTATGTTTTATTGCTGTACACACATGTGTATGAAACACAAATCAAATACACACTGTCCAGTATAACATGTAAAAATGAAGGCATGAATTTAAAACGGATTTCTTAGAAGTTACTCTCTGGACAGTTTGGTCTTACAACTTTCACCACCACTTCTTCCTTTGCCAAAAACAAAAGTTCTCAAACATATGAAGGGATACAGGGGACAAGTACGATGCCTACTGTTCATCTCTGAAATGTAACAATGTAAAAGTGATCAAATGATAGATGGTTTATATATGTAATGAAGCATAAGACAACAGTCAGGAAGTCATTATGGAGAAATTGTTACAGGAAAATAACTTCATGATTCATATCAAATTGTATTATCGCTAATACAGTGTATCAGGTTGCTAAATATTAGCCCTAGGTTTCTCAAACTCTCCACAAACGTCTATGTAGGTTTTGAAAAACTTTAGAAGGGATTTTAAAATGACCATGTATTCTTAAGTGACCTTCCTGAGCGCTGACACGTGGAGCTGATGTTCATGACTTCATCTACTTTTTGCGACATCTTTTTCACAAATCAGATGTTTGATTGCGAATCATATCCGGATTTGATGTGGAATTTAGATTTCTCAGATCATTCAAACTATGATGGTGTAAATGTAAGGTCAATGTTATAAACCATCTATCATTTGATAATTATAAAATCCTCCTGTCGACCTTTGAGCCCTGACTCGTATCAAGTTGTTGTTGCGTCGTGGAATTATAAAGCATTTCAGACACCTTTAAAGCGGAAAGCAACACATGTCACAGACGGTTTACGGGTATTCGGGAGAACAACTGTATATTACGTGATTGTAAAAAACAACTGTTGGGGGTCGAGTTGCATTGTGGGTATTGCAGGTTGCTGATCTTAACAAGGAAGCTGAATGCATGGAATAAAGACAATATCCCCGGTTCTGCTGCATCAATTTTTACCCTTTTTTTCTTCTGTCCAACGTGAGTGTAATAATGTGATAGCAGCGCAACACTAGATCAATAGAATCATCTTTTCAAATAGCAGGATTTAATGTGTACATTAGTGTGAGTTGTGCAGGTTCAGAAAATTCCTGACATTTCTGCTTGGCTGTTCCTCAGCAGACGCACACCATATTAAATATTGAAGTCAGTTCACGCAATAAGCTGTGTAGTAAAGCTACTCGGAGGTGTTTCAGCCAATGCAGCATAGTTATACATACAAATATTTGTCAAATGTAGCTTTGTACTACTAATGACATTTCTGTTTCTGAGAAAGGTAGCTGTATAAAATAGTCATGAATTCACAGTTTATAAAAAATAAAAACATAAATAAAACAGTAATGAAGCACTCAATTAACTGATAATAAATGTCATTATTCAGGGATCAACGACAAGCGGACTGTCACAGAGACCACCGAGTACACACCAAACCAAAGAGATGCGAACAGTACTTTTATAGCTAGAGAAATAACAGAACATTACCTCCCATTTGAATTTAACAGAAAGATTTAACCCAAAATCCTGAAAAGAACTTTGAAACCAAGGGTTCAGCTAAGTACTGTAATGTATGGGACTCCAACCGTATATGCTCAGTCTCTTCAGCTCCACCGCTACTCCACTGGTTCTGTACGCTGCACCTCACTGTCTTTCTCCACGTGGCTCTGCATGTGTTCAGGAAGCTTCTGCAAAGATAATACAAACAAGACGCCTCTTATACTGTTTTCTGTTCATATCATCACGATTCAGACTCTCACACATTACTCAGCTAATACTTCACTCACACAGAATGACACAGGGTCGGTGCATTACCTCTCTAACAGCCTTATGTGTGCCAAAAAACGAGCTGCAGCCTCTCCAGCGACACTTGATCGCCTGCAGGTTTGGGTTGCTGTGATCTCTGAGGAGGTGCTCAGAGAGATGCTCCGCCATGCCGAAGATCAGAGTGCAGTTATACCACTGTACAGAGGGCAAAGGTCACAGAGACACATGTTAAGATGCATTTAGAAATGGTATATTCATTCAATATCTTGTGGAATATGTCTCTTGGAATTGGATCAGAGTAAAGGCACTGAGATTACATTATGTTTCATCCGACTTAAAATCTCTGAATGCTTTATGTATAATGAGTTTGAGTCGTTACCCAGCAGCGGCAGTTCTTCATCAAGTTGAGCTTCACAGCTTGGATGGAGCCATCATAACAGCCCGTGTAGATCTGAATGGGACAAACAATGTCAGATATTTCAACAGTATCATGAATCAACCTCTGGCATGCAAGTCAGGATTCAAAATGATGGCTGGGCAAGTTCAATTCCACGTACCACACTCTTATGTACGGCCATGCACATCACCATGTCACTGTGACCCCCGTACACCTGCAAGCGGTCATGGGACTGTGAAGACACAAATACAGAAGTTAATCTAATAATATATAGTTATTCACCTGAAACATAAGGAAACAGATGACTAATTAAGATAACAAACTAGATTTGTAAAGGTTTTTCAAATAGGGACTGGTTTTCCTTCATTTGTAATGGTACAAATGAAAACTATAAGCAGTCTAATTGTGATTTGTAAAGGAAACAAAGCTTGTTTTGAGTATTCTGCAAGGATGGAGAAGCAAAAGAAAGACTTATACAAATGGTCTTTTTTTTAACTGAGGTCTGAAGTAAAAAAAATCTAATACTTTTGTTTTTGATTAACTTTTAAAAACACTTGCCACTCATTAAAAAAAATATGATCTAAACATTATTGTAAACTTGAGTTGTAAATACTCTACCTGCAGCTCATAAATTCGGACCATCTTATCCAGAGAGGCTGTCACCATCACTTTCCCCAGGATGATTATCGATGTGACGGCATGATTGTGACCTTTGTAGATTCGGACCAACTCACCCGTCTGCAAATAAAGATGGACGATAAAAAATAACGTTGACAGTGAATGAATGAAGTTAAACAGAAACGACCTTTAACGCAAACCCAGGGAGTCACTGTGCTTAAATTAAAATGTTAATGTTTCAAGATTAAGAAAGCAACTAAACTAAAGCATGTTTTATATTTTTGTCTCAGTAACTTCCAAGACTCATGACATTTTCTGTTTATTACATTTCGTAGTGCAAGTGCCCGTCCTTTTCGTATTCATAGATAGTTAAACTCATGGAAATATATTTGACACTTACGTGGATGTTGTGAGCCTGAACCGATGTGTCACTGGAGCCGCTGAAGACCAGGTCGTTCACCACCTGAAAACAACAAGTAAATCAGTACAATTGATGTACAAGTGATATTTTCTTTACTAGAATTTCCTCTGCAAACACATAGTACTACTGACCCTTTTTATACAAATGTCAGTCGCAATTTCGAATCATTTAGTGTCCTTATCCAAACAAAGACCATCATTATGTTAATATATACTTTCACTTTTAATACTATCACCTGGCTGCTATAACACTATTTAATACATGCTACACTTATTGTTTTTAAATACTGGTACTGGATGTGTAATTGTGCATGCTTCTTATTTACTATTAAGCTATTTTTGGCTCTTTACTTTGGGCTGTAGCAATGTAAATGTCCCCTTTGTGGGACGAATAAAGGTGTTCTGATTTGAAACAGTGTCCAGACGTAGGTGTGTCTCCTCACCTTCATGCAGAGGACAGTTTTGGTGTGGCCGTCCAGCGTGCGCAGCAGCAGGCCGTTCTTGGCGTCCCGCACGCTGATGGTGCTGTCGTAGGAGCCGACCAGCAGCACCCGGCGGGCGCCTTCCTGAGCCGTGCCCAGACAGCTGACCCCGCGCGGGCCGTGGCACTCGAACACATCCAAGTTCTTCAGAGTCTACGAGAGAGATCAGGAGGAGGTTTAAGAAAGATATAGAGATAATGTTTATTGGTTTTTAAATCCGCTGTAAGAACATTGCTCTGGCAGAGAAAGGAGAAAGCAAGACTTGTGCAATACAGTCTACAATACTGTAAAATGAGTGGCTACATATACAGATAAGAAAAGCTTTTTGTTAGCGTGGTCAAAAGAAAACTCTGGTTACAGGTCTACACGAGTGAAAAACATAATCTGACTGAACCAAAACCAATATCAAATCAAAGTTTATTTATATAGCCCAATATCACAAAACACATTTGTCTCAGTGGGCTTTACAGTTGAACAAACATAGAGGACAGTGTCACTCACCTTTAAGTCAAAGCTAGCCACTGATCCACAAGCGAGTCCAGCATACAGGATGTTGGAGGCAGAGTGCAAACACAACACTCTGTCTGACAGCGTGACCTGCTCCAGACACCGTGTGGTCTAGAGACAAGAGGAATAAAATGCCTCAACAAAAAATCAAACGTTCAAAATGCAAACCCGACAACAGGAGGCAGAACTTTAGATTGCTTGTTAAAAACCCATTAGCAATTCAACGATTCAATTATAACTAGCTCTGCCAGTAAAAACTATATTTTTTTGACAAAACGATGGATGAGTCCCTCTAATAATGGTGGAAAAGTCAAATTACAGGGGGTCATGTGTATCACAATATCAGTTGTCCAGGCATTTTGTACCTTTATGCTGAAGCAGCGGATGGTCTGGTCACTGGATCCGGTGTAGAGACGAGCCAGAGTGTTAGGGGACGACGACACCAGCAGACAGTTGACCTTGTTGGTGTGACCTTCAAACACTGCTTGGCACTCCTTAGTCTGGATACACAGGGACAACATGATATCTTATATTTTAAAAGCGTATAAAAAGAGAAAACGAACACTCTGCATGATAGAGAGGGGTTTTAGTTTGATCACATTTGCTTATTCTCAGGAGAGGGACACACTAGTCAGCAGAGACACACTTGGGCCAAAGTGAGAAGACATTTTGGATCCTGATGATGAACGTACCATGAGACTGTAGGCCCGCGCTGTGTTGTCCCCTGAACACGTGTACAAGCGGCCGTCGTGAACACGGAGGCCGTGGACGGGGCCGGTGTGGCTCGAAAAAACTCCAACTGATGGCTCCTGATCCTCGGACACTTCAATGCACTCTGGGTGAAAAAAGTAACGAGGTCTTTGCTTTTCATCTCAAAACATCTTATGTGAAACCTTATGTAAGCAGGAGAAAAAGACTCACCTGAAGGAATCTTTACATCTTCAACTTTAAGTGTAGGCTGACGTTTTCTGAGTGGCAAAAAGAGAAAGAAAGGTCACATTTACCAGAATAGTACTGCTTGTAATGTTTAGGATGTTGCATTAAACACCATCTCACCTCTCAACTTCATTTTGCTGGATCGTCTGTGTGCCTGAACAGCTGACCTCCACACTGACAGAGCTCTGAGGAGGCTCCGGCTGGACGGGAACATTCTGTACTTCCTCACAGTCCGATTCATCGATATTAATGACCACCGGGACGGGGGGGTCAATCAGTTTGAGAGAGGCGTCGCTCTCGTTCCCTCCATCGTTGTCTATTACAACGGATGTATTTAGATCTTTTTTTGGTACAGGAGTGGAGATGGGCTTTTCTGCGGCTGGCTGTTTTTTTTTAATAGGTTCTATGCAAACAACATCTCCAATCTCTTCCACTGAGTCACTGTCATCTACCTTTTCTTCTTCTTGTCTCACTAACCTCACGCTCTCCTGCCTGAGAGATGACTTCGGAAAATGATTTGTATTTGCTGATGTAGAGCACTCTGTTGCAGGTTGTTTGAAAGAGGGGACAGCCATTGGAGGAGAAGCTGAGTGTGGAGGGAGGAAATCAGAAGGTAACAAGGAGACAGGAGACTTCACAGGATGTGTGTCAGAGTTACAGGAGACAAATTGAATGGCTTGTCCAGAGGTGGATGGCTGGGAAATGTCTTGCATTACTGGTATGGTTGGGAGGGCGAGCGGGCTAATGGAAGGGGGTGTGTTTGTTGGCGATGGTTGCCGGCTCGGGGGGGCGGAGGGGAAGGCACTGGAGGAAGGCAGAGGGGAGAGTCTTGGTTGCACAGTGGGAGAAGGGGCTGCAGGTAAAAGGGGGGCTTTCTCTACGTTAGATGTTGCTTTGTGTATTTCTAGAAGAGATTTAGAGGGAAAAAAACAAAGTAATGTATTAAAAAAAAAATCCATTTTGATACAGACAATTAATGAAACAGAAAATCAAACTAAATTAGTAGAAACAGGGGGGCAGAGAACATAGCTTTTAAAGAAAATAACCCTCCCTTTAGTCATCCAGTTTCAGCATTTTGGTCAGGGACCCAAATATTACGGCCATGTTGATAAATACACATATGAATACATGAAATTCTATATATACACACACAAATATATACGTATATATTCACACATACACATTTACATACATATATATTTATATAATATATTTTTTAAGGTAAACCAAAAAGCAATGACAAGCAAAAACAAAGATGTAATGTACCTTTCATCCCTTGCAGGATTCCAATGCGCTGGGCTCTGAGATGGTTGACCTCAAAAGTGAACTGTAATAGCAGGAGGGAAGAAAAATGTAATGTTAACCATGAAAATACACCATTGGAAAAGATTAAAACAAATCTGTGTCTTCATTAGTGTGGTACCTGCTGCCTCAGTAGCAGGAGTCTCTGGACTTCAGCGTAGGCGGCCTGCAGGATGTTGCGGGCTTGGATGAGAGACACGTCCAAATTCTGCAACGAGTGGCTCAGCTCGTCCTCCCTCAGAGACACAGCGAGCAGCTGGTCCATCTGGCCCTGCTCTGATAGGCAGGAAACATACAGAAAAATATACTCTGAGATTTATGGGATGACTATCCAATGACATGACTGGGATGACAACGTCAATCAGAATAAATAAGGGGCTTCGGAGTTTAAAACTAGTTAATTTCTCTTCCGTTTCTGTTTTAAACTGCATTATGTACATTCCCTTGAGCCGTCTCTTCATAAAAAATATGTTATTTAAATAAACTTGCCTTCTTATATATCCTGTTTCCAAATAGCCTTGTTATGTGACCTGTGTATATTTACACTCCTACAATGAAACGATAATGCCTCAAAATGTCAGATATCCTTCACAGTATGTCAGAATTACAAATTATAGAACTTTTAACTAAAGTAAAATAAATAAATCAAATAAAAAGGTTATATTTACCATTGTTTGACTTTGTTTTCTTTTTTTTCCCACTTGGCTCGTTCTCAGCCAAGCCATCACACTGTAGCAAAACATGATAATCAGGTTTTAACAAAAAAAAATGTTTTATGTTTCAGCGGTGGACCTCACTGAGAAAAACTGTATAATACTCACCATTTTGTGTTTCCTCTTGCTAGTATCACTGTCGGCACTCAAATCTATGAACGCTACGTCCAACTCCACCTTCACACGGACAGCTTGGACTGTGCGAGTGCTGCAGCCTTCCTGTGCTGCGTCAGGCTGCTCCGATGGCTCCTGCCTCTGAGGCTCTGACTGCGGCTCTGTGTAAGACTCGTAATACTTTGTGTTCTGGGGTGGAGGAGGTAGTTCGGTCCAGTGTACGCCTGGTTCAGGTAGTTCGGTCCAAGTGTCTGTGAAATCCTCCCAGTGAAAGCCCTCTGACAGACTCATGTCGATTCCCTCTGCTCGTGTTGAACTCTCTTTTTCAGAATGACGCTTCGTAAGCTCAATTCCAAACCTGTTACCACACAACACAACAGATATAAAAACTTATGTTTGACAAAGGGCAACACTGACAGTTAAAACAATGTTTACCTGGGCCTGACTTTGTCTCTCTCCTGCTTCTTCCTCTTCCTGTCCTCATACTTCTCCCTCCAGTTTGACTTGACTTTAGGTACTGATGAGCTAAACACATTATTTATAGTTGGTTTAGGCACAGGCATTTTTCCTCCCTGAACTGCGGCTGAATCACGGGCAATTCGAACCTTGCGGGCTAAAGTTGTTCCATTTGACACATTTTCCCATATAGGAGCAATGTTAGAGGGACCAGCACCAGCAGTGGAGGAAGAAGCAGGGCTGTTGTCGTATGAAGATTGCATAGATGTAGCTGCAGCAGAGGCAACATGAATGGGAGTTTCCTTGGCTTTGTTCCTGAAGGAGCACCGTAACTGCTGCTGTCTCCCAGCTTTAGTTTGCCCCCCCGTCTCACTGCTCTGTTTCCGAGCTTCACGATCGGCCCGACACGGCTCCCTCACACCCAGCGCGCGTCTGATCTGCCGCAGCATCGCGCTGACGTCCACGTCCCGTATCGGAGCTGCGTTTGTGGATTCGTTTGTCTGAGAATGTTGAGCTGAAGCTTCCTTTCCTGAATGAGAACATACTGCACTCTCACCCTGGCAAATACCAAATATGATAGCTCCGTTATGAGGAAGGTGATCACTGGTGAAGTCTCCATCGTATGGCTTGTTGTAATAGTCATTCTGTTGGTCTCTTTGGGAGCACTGCTGAGCTGATTGGGCGCACTTGTGAACAGGAACGCAATGTTGAGTGTGACCCGGCTCTCCTGACAAACAAGACAATCTTCCGCTTTGATTAGGCAGAGATGATTCTCCTTGGTGAAGAAGCCTTTTCACACTGGACAATTTATTCTCTTTGTTTTGAACAACAGCAAGGGTTCTTCCTTGCTGGAAGGTTCCCTGTTGCAGTTTCCAATTGTTCATTTGTTTGTTCTTCATTAACACTGCTCGCACTTCTGCACGCTTCTGATCATATTCCTGCTTCTCTTTCTTTCTCCTCTTTTTTCCTGCTTTCTTCCTGTAATGCAACAAAAGTCACAGTTATTAAAGCGCATTGAATCATGGAGAGAATAAATTGCAAACAGATGACAAGATGAAATTATTACTCCTCTTTTTTCAGGGCCTTGTTTCTCTCCAGGATCAAGTTCATGGCCTCATTGCTCAGAGTCTTAAACAGAGGTAGGGGCTTTTTTTTTCTTTTCTTTAAGCTGTGCAACTTGGCTTTGTGTCGAGGGGTGGAGATGTGCTGAGCATACTCATTTAGACCCATGGAGGATGCGTTACATGCCTGACATTCATGAAATGAATTCCTGTCAATGGAAGAACACAAAAACAAACAACAGTTGTGTTAGATATTAGTTTTTTAAGCTGGTCAGTGCATGTTATGATTACTTATCTCCGAAAGACAGGGAAATACTTTGGAGCTGTATCGTTTTACCTTTTTTATACAAGTGCAGACACAACACAAGTTTCAGCACACAACCAATCAATCGTATATTCATATGTTGTTGAAGTGTTGTATTACAAATGAATGGAACTAGGAATAGTCAATCAATGCAAGGTCTAAATAAGTATATTAAGTATGTGTAATATTTTTGCATCCCTAGTAAAAAACAAAGAGAACAGGGTCATATTAGTATTGCCAAATATCACTCACTTGCCCAGCACCGTCTCCAGCTCTCTGTGGTGCAGCATACCATGCACATGATCTTGTGCTTCCTGTAGATCAGAGACATCTTGTTAACATTATTAAACATTTAATGGCTGTATATAAAAACACTGAAATATATTTGTAAATGTAGATCCACTTACATCTTTCAAATGGATCATGCGACACAGTGTACAGTAGTTGCTTTTGGCCTTCTTGGAGTGTTGTCCATTGTCTTTCTTCTTAAAAGCGGATTCCCCCGAATTATTAGTTGGTGTTTGAACCTCTGCCATTTCTGAACAGGTGAAACAAGAATGATAACCACACAAGCTTTTCAGAAACGAGCCCAACTGCAACCACTCAGAAGCATAATATTATCACAGCATAAAGGCTAAACGAAATAAACACCTTTGGGAGTTTTATATAATATCATGCTGCACACGTTTATAACCAATATAGCATTGCAATTATGTAATTTAGACTTAGAATAGCAGCACAACGTGTTTGGTAAATCACCACCAGCGTTTACGTTTGAGTTGGACTAACGTTAAACGGTTGGCAACAATTCACCCCTCGTGCAAAGTTATCGGCATTTAAATACATTCATGACGTTTTGTGCTCAACCAAACATTATATGAAAGTTGTTAATAAATCATAATTACCAGCTGTATTTCACATGGCAACAAAAGTCAACTGCAGTCAACGGCCATGTTTGCTTACGTAGATTACGTAAGGTTTGCGGCGGCCAATCGTGTGCTAAAGACGACACCGGAAGTTTCCCAAATATCGCTTTCTAAAAATATCGCTTTTTAAATAATGTCTTTCGTATTTATTGGATAACTTAAAGACATGGAACTATGCAAAGACAATCCAAAAAAATCTAAAAAAGTAAGAAAGAAGCCCAATAATTTTACCAATTTCTACACACGTTAATTCCTGTTTGACCACTTGTATTTAGTTTTTATTTCGCTCTCTTTTTTTCTGTATATAATGCATCAGAATTGTATTCATTTAATGAACAATGATGTTCCTTTTTCTGATATCTTTGAAAAAATTGTGAAGGAAAAAAAGACGACACCGGAAGTGTCACGACACTCAGTTTGCTTAGATCTACAACACATCTGTGAAGAGGAATTAAGCGCTTTAGCTGCGAGCGTTTATCTACAGATCTGTGAGTTTTAGGGACCACCTTTCGATGCGGAAGAGGAGATTGACCCAAAAAGAGGAATAAGAAAAGCTGTTTGTTAGAAGATTACAGTGTTTTAAGATTTTCCTTCAAAATGTGCAACGGGTGCGTGCAAAAGGAATACCCGGACAGGGTGAGTTACTAAGGCAACATACTGGTTAATGTTTAGTTATCTGTAGTTAGCTTGCTATGCGTATCATGTAAAGATAGGTAAACAACCCGCTGCGAAAGAGCAGAGGTGAGAAGTACATTTAATCAAGTACAATTTTGAGATAGGCCTACTTGTACTTTACCTGAGTATTCCCATGTTATGCTACTTTGTACTTCTACTCCACTCAAATTCAGAGGTAAATCGGGTACCTTTAGTCCACTACATTTATTTCGTACCTTTTAGTTACTTTACAGATTTGGAATAATGATGTAAAATATAAACAGCACTTAAATAATACTTAAGTTACACCTGGAGTAACATTCAAAAGCTACCAAGCAGTAATTTATGCAATTTAAAATGAGTTCTACCTTTACCAGCTTTGATAAACACATCAATAATTATAATCAAAACATATAATATACTGTATATTATTCTGAAAAGGGCCAATTTGTATAATGAGTACTTTTACTTTTGGTACTTTAAGTATATTTTTATGGTAGTGCTTGTGTACTTTTACTTTACTTTTGAATGCATAACTTGTACTTGTAAGAGACGATTCCTACACTCTAGTACTTCTTCTTTTACTCAAGTAGAAGATCTGAGAACAACTCCCACTTCTGCAAAAGATGATGACATGTCAAAATTGGGTTGTCAGAAAGCTAAAATGTGATGTGTTCCCTTGACTTTCTGCTCAGGGTAACACCTGTCTGGAGAATGGCTCCTACCTGATGAACTACCGGTGCTGCGCCAGCTGCCATCAGAGGGACTTTGTGCTGATCATCAATAAGGCCACAGAGGATGAGGATGGAGAAGAGATCATCACATATGACCGTCAGTCACTCTTTTTTTATGCTCCTGAAACTTTGACTGTGTTTTTATTGTTGTAAGGAAATAATAATCGAGTTTGTGTCCACACACCTCCGGGGTTGTTGTTTTTTAAGTTTGGGCGAGGCCCCTATCAGTAAAATCTGAGGAAAATGTTCATGTTGCAGCATGCAGAGGTATCTTCTGTACTATAGTGTTAACAGTTTTGGGAAGATGTTTTTCTATCCCTCTAACTGAGAGCCGTAGTACATTACTAAATATGTGCAGATTCCTAAATTACAGAATATTTTAGATTTCAGATTTTTATTATAACATCAAGTTTTAAGCTTTGATACATTTTTGGTCAAATTTGGAATAAGATAGATAAACCAGAACCCATCATAACTCACAAAAAAGCTAGGGGCTTGTAGTAATAATTCCAACTTTCCTTAAAAACGTCTTCCACAGCAGGTTTGTAATCAATCCAATAATGTCAATTTCTCTTTACAGATGTTTGCAAAAACTGTGATCATGTCGTCGCCAGGCACGAATACACTTTCTCCGTTGTTGATGAATACCAGGTCAGATTCTACTCTGTTTTATTGAACATAACTATGTATATTTGTATGTAACGCAAATGCTTCTTTAACTACCACACTCATTTAACAGTATTTATGGTTAGTTGTTCTTGCCACCGTTTAGCCTTTAGTAGATTAAGTCTGTTTTGTGTTGTCCAGGAGTACACGATGCTCTGCATGCTGTGTGGGAAGGCAGAGGACTCCATCAGTGTGTTGCCAGACGACCCCAGGCAGTCTGCTCCTCTCTTCTGAGTGTCACCACCGAAACTGTTCCTGGCTGCAGGCTTCGGGGATCCAACCCTTTTTTATTAAATGCATGCAACATTTTCTTCAATGAGTTTACCATATTTTAAGTCTTTGGCTGTTTATAAACTACTGTATGCTGATAACAGTTGAGCAGGACATAAGGCTTTTTCATATTCCTTGCAACAAATATTCTGTAAGTGAATTGACAGTGTTCTGTAAATAAACAGTTTTTACTACGTTTTATTATGGCCTGCGTTTCCTGTTCAACACAGAATATTTGATGTTCATAAGTAAGAACGACATCTTTCAATGCAGCTGTATACAAGTACAACTTTTTTGAATATCCAAAATGTGTAAAAAATAAATAAAATTCAGTGGCTACATGGTTTGTTAAAAAATAAAAAGCATAAGGATTCATCTGTTAATATCTTTCAGTTCTTTATTTAGCCAGACGGCTTTCCCCCGAAATAAGTATTGCTTACAGGCATTCAGCAGCTTGAAGCATTTTCATTATGTAAAGCTCTGGGCCCAGCTGTGCAGTTCCAATTTGGGAAGGACATGTGAAGCTGCTTGGGACTGATTCTTTATTCTTGACCTTGGCAATGGCTGTTGACAAAACATGTCAAGGATGAACATTCAAACGCACATTTGTAACAGAGAAGCAATGAAGCATTTATATTTCCATGACAAACTAAGAAGCTCATAGGCGTCATTCGCACTGGGGACGCTTACTTTACTGACTCTAAAATGACCCAAAAACATGCTTGCGGAAATGTTGTTTGGCCTTTTTGCCTACATTTAAATGTTGTCTTTTTGCTTTATTTTCTTGTGTGATTTTGGTGACAGTGTGACTATGCTGGACAAAGTTATAGAGGGGGTGCCCAATCTGGCAGCACTAACACCTGCTCTGCCAGATTTGGAAGCCCCTCTTTAGTTTTTCATCTGATGAGCCCAGAGTAAAATGCTTTTTTGTGCAAAAATCTCAAACATGTTAGAAATCCCATCCCTTACAGTCCTGTTACTGAGTTTTAGGTAGTAGGAAAACCTTTAATAGTAACACCATTTTTGAAGCTAATAAACATTTATATCTGGCTCTTGAGGGCTCTGAAGTCAAGTGTACTTCTTGCACCAAATCCATCAATCAAAGTTGATTTATTTAGCCCAATATCACAAATTGTACTTTCGTCTCAGGGGTTTTAAGGTTTATACAGAACATGAATATGCCGGAAATTCCCGGTTCTGTAAGCTTTTAAAATATTTATTGAAGAGAGAAGAGTCACTGTGTACTACTTGACACAAAGCTTCCAAATAAAAGTGGGACTGGTCAGAGGAAGTGAAAAGACACATGCACTTCAGAGCAATTGAAAGTACATTTGTTATAAAGGTTGTCTTATCCACAGAATAGAAGGCTACCAAGCAAAACAACATTGTGTGAAACAAGCACAGAAAATAATAAATGTTTGTTATTGAAAATAAATGTAGAAATACATTAAACATATGTGTGCTCTGTTTTATTCTCTATTTATATATACATATTTTCTTGTGTTTATTTATTCCTGTATTTATTTCCACATGTATTTATTCCCATAGTTATTAATTTGTTCCTGTGTTTATTTATTCCTGTATTTATTACTGTTTTTTTTTAAATGTATTTATTCTTCAAAAATTTTTTTATTCCTGTATTTATTTTTTTCTCATCTCATGTTCTGTCCTCTATACCCGTGTACTCGTTGTGTGAATAAAGCCACACATTCACTCAAAATCACATCACAGCAGGATGTATCATAAAAAAAAACACATATTGGTGGTCCAGAGGTCTCTGCATTGGTTTTTCATGGAGAATCTGGAGAACGTGTCCCCAACACTTTTTCTAACAAAGAAGAAGCTACAGAACAGCTACTTGTGGACATTTTTGTGAGATGGTTTCTAATTAAGTTGCTTACTATAGTATCATATTTTAGTTTACTGTGTTAGCAGTGGAGATAAATAACTGACCAGCACTTGCCATATGTGGGGGAAACTTCTGAAGCAATTGGAGTCAGGACTCAAACAGAGACACGATGGAGAGCTGGAGCTTTGATGGCAAACACTGACGGTTTGTTTGGAGCTTCGGCCGGAGAATTCACAAGACATGTCACGGGCCACGGTTTGACCACACGGTTGAGATGCCACAATCAATCAGCAGGCTCTCTTATGTGCTTACAGGGACGTCTGTCAAAGAAAACAGCTGCTTCCACAGAATTTGAAATGGGATTGTTCTCAAGTGACATAATGCAGTCTGAGTTTGTGTGACTTTAGTTTAACTTGAGTATAAAAAATTAAAGCATTTTTATTCAAAGTTTAACCGACTGTTTTTATCACATTTATCTGATCAGTGACAGTGCTGCTGAGCGTGGGACAACTTCTCGTTTCCATTCCCATTAGAGCCAATATTTCATAAATAGACATCTGCACTTAAAAAAAGAAAAAAACCTATTTGCATAACACCAGGAGTGAATGAAAAATTGTGAGAACATGTAAATGCACTAACCGTTTAATCAACAATGAAAAACTACAGCAAGTGTAGCCATGAATTCAACGTTTGTTTAGAATTGGCATTTATTTAATTGACTATATTTAAAATTGTGCTAAAAAATAAAATGCAACAACAAGGAGACATGATGAACAGGTTCCATTTTTATCAGTTTTCTTCCTTTACCATCTATTTTGTGGAAGAAATAAAATTGCACATCTTTGCTGGTTCATATTATGATGTTC